GATACATATGTAGTATGTCATACATCTCTACATACTCCTGATGTATGTCTAAGGATTTGTTTGAAATAAGAATCCCTTTCTGGAATTATTCTATAGATTTTTTGCCAAAAATTATCGGAATTGACATTCGCACTGACGTTGATATTTAAGCAAAGGTTGTGTAGCTAATTTAACTTTTTGTCTTCCTGGACCTTTTTCGGAAATATATACGTCGCTCAGAGAGTACGTAATTGAGGTATCAGATTTTGTTGTTTCTCTTAATAAATCTGTAATGGTTAGTAAGCCAGGTAGTATTTTCGAACAAGCCTTATTTTCTGCCAAAGCAAAATCTTTATCTCCTCCACAATAGGTTCATACCTGTAGATACACCTAAATCGTTTCATAACTTACGATTGGTTGGTCCTAAGTCGCACACCACCTCAAAAACTGCAAATCCTGACTTTTGGGCCTAATAATTATGCTGTTTTTAGTTACGACTGGAAAAAAACCTTCGAAATTTTTTTCCAGTCGTAACTAAAAAAATTATCTGCCAGACCTCGCTCCACTTAATTTTTCTCTGTTCTTCTTTGAGACTTAAAAAAGTGCTCTTTCCAATTCTTTATTTTTTTTTTACAAATTGCACACCAACTCATTTTAGCTACAAATTTGTTAAGAAAATGTTTAAATATAAATTTTTTATTTCTTTTATTATAATTTGTACAAATTTTAATATCTCTTAGTTTTTCTGTGATTTACGCTGTTTAATTTCACCTATAAGTGATTCTTAGTTTTGAAAAAAAAAACTTTTCTGTAATTTGAGCTGTTTAATTTATAAATATCTCTAGGCTTTAACAAAAACTGTAATGTGCGCTTTTTTAAATTCTATTAAATTTAATGACAGCTAAGAAATGTAAACAAATTGCGGCGAATTACAGCGAAAAATCTCGTGATGTCACCTTATTAGTTACATCATGGTAGGAATTCTATTTCCAAATCGGTGTGTTTGGAATATCCATATTATTTAATGATTTTATAATTCTGAAATATAGCCTTAAGTTCTCTAGGATACGTAGCATAGTAGAAAAAGTCAAGGTATAACCGTTCTCTCTTTTCGTAGCCATATTAAACTTCTGACATTTAAGCAATTTATTTTTTTATATGCTACCGTATTTACTTTATAAATCCAAGTTTTTTGTTTATTATTTATTTTTTTTTTCTTTCAATATAAAAATAGAAAATATTTTTCAAACTAAATTCAAAATTTTAATTTCAAATATTCTTCAACATAAAATACAAATAATAAAAATGTTAAAAACCGTTCTTCACTATGCGGACGAACCCTGCTGATTTCAAGTTTACTTGTAAGTAGTGCCGGCCATTCTCCGTAAAACAGATATGATTTCTCTGTAATTTCTTCTTTGTGTCCAATCCAATTCAATAGGGCCTTCGGATTAAACCAGCCAAGCAAAAACCTCTAGATTTCGACGGATCTTCAAAGGAATGCTACCATAGACCGACTCGCAAAAATGCAGCTTATGTTATATGTTATTAACCAAAATATTTTGGGATTTGTGTTGGGTTTAATGTTGTCCGTTTGTGAGCTGGACCATTTTGATGAATATCGTTAGAACAGACAATTGTTATGTTTTATCATGGTTCCCAAAATATTCTGAGTCTATCGATGGCTGATGAGTGGTTACAAATAAGACACTTTTTAGTATTTTTTTTTAATTGTACAATTTTTCTAAAATAAAATATACAACATGAGAATAATTTGATAGGTTTTTGAATCCGCGTCTAATGGTGTACTAAACTTGGAACCATTGGATTCCGCTTTAAAACCCCTTTCAAATGATACCTCTGATTCGAATATTCTAACGAATGTATGGTTTATCATCTTGATTCTTTCTGTGAATTCTTGTATCTAGTAAATAAATTACACATTTTTTATTTCTAATTTCCTAAATATGATTTTCCCTTCTACGTGTGTGGCAACGTTTCTCTTTATTTGTTTACAAAAAATAAATTTCAATAATTCTTATTTACGTCAAAAAACTTTTCATTGAGAGAGAACGGAGTTACCTTGTTTTCTTTATACCATGATACGTAGGATATTTTTAAATATTTTCATTCCGGATCCATTATAGTTGTCTTCTCATTTTTGGGAATGATACTGAAGGAGACAGTTGTTTCTCTCGCCAAAACATTCCGCTCACCTTTCATTTGTATTTATATTTTATATTACGTGCTGTACTTCAATTCTTAATACTTTTTTACTTCGACCTGATTCTTTTAAATTTCAATTTTTTACTAAAATCTTTAGCTTTTACTTAAATGATGATTAAATGTATTTTGTAAAAGTAAATACTAAAAAAAGCTAATTTACATATCTTTTTTAAATGTCCTTCATCGGAAGAATACATTTCTAGAAAGAAAATATAAATATTTGATGTTCTAAAGAATAAAACTTTTGAATTTAAAAACTATTTAAATTTACCCTAAAACAAAATTTTTATTTTATAAACGGTTTATAAATTAGATTTTGTATGGAACGATTATAGACAGAAAATACGTGAGATAATATCAATCAGAAAGTCTTTAGTTTAGAAGTATTCTTTGTATACAGTCGCTGCAAGCCAGCACGCTGTCTCAAGATTTTTTTTTTAACATTTTTCTCGATGTATTCGAAAACACTTTTTTTTCAATAAATAAAAAATTATCAATAAACATACGTCACAATAAAGTGTATAGAGAACTCATATTTACAAAATGTCCAGTTTTGGGCATCAAAAGGTTAATACCCCGTTCACACGATGCAATTCGTATTTTCATTCGTCATTCAATCCTCAATTACGAACTGAATTACATGATTGGCACAAAATTTCTGCTGCGAATTACACAAGATGTACGTAATTCAGTTTGAATTTCGAATGAATGTCATATCTCTAACTTTTATCGAGTAATTATCATAATCAGCTGTTTGTTTTCATTGGTTGCTGACAAATAAAAAAATCGAATTACAAACAAGTTAGAGTGTTATATTCGGCTATGCCGAATCTTATATATCCACCATCAAATCACTGCCATATAAATGAACTTTGACATTTTGAATTTTTTATTATTATGTATCGATATTAATGAGAACATCATTGTAATATTTGAAAGAGGTACATTAATGGGGGTTTAACTATTGACAGTGCTCTTTCGAATTAAATATGTTTATTTATATAGCGAGTAGGGTTATATATACACATATGGACCAATTGTCATAAAAGTCGGTAGGAAGATTTCAGTTCCTTATTTATTTCAAATTTCATAGATCTACCTTTATTTTTAAGCCAGTAATGAACATTAAAGTCATTTTGTTAAAGGGTAATGGTTAATTATGGACCGATCCTCATAAAATATGGTAGAGAGATTTTAGCTTAAAATAAGTTTATGTCGAATTGCATTGCAGTATTCGTATTTGTCTCGTTGTAGTCATTTTCTGAGGGGAAATTTATATGGCGTGGGGTTATAATGGACTGATCCGCATACAAATTGGTAGAGAGATTTCGGTTTCTATAGAACTTATCAGTGTCGAATTTCATTTACGCCAGTAATGGGCGTTTAAGTGATTTTCTGATGGGGACCTTAAATGCAGGTCCACAAAATTTTGTAGAGAGATGTTAGCTCATACAAGACTATATCGAATTTCAATGCTTTACTCGTTTTTTAGGCCATTAACGAGCGTTAAAGTAATTTTCTGTTAGGGACCTTATATGCGGGATAGGGTCAATTAAGGCCCGATCCACATACAATTTGGTAGAAAGATTTTGGCTCCTAAGATACTTATTTGTGTCAAATTTCTTCGCTATACTCGAATTTTTCGACAATTATGCACCGATCCACATAAAATTTGGTAGAGAGATTTTGGCTCATATAAAACTTACTTCTGTTAAATTTCATCGCTATACTCTTCTTTTTAAGCCAGTAATGAGCGTTTAAGTAATTTTATGGAGGATCCCACATATAGCTTGGTGGAGAGATATTGGCTTGCATGAAACTTACGTGTGTCAAATTCGTAAGCCAGTAATCAGCATTTTCCAAATGGGACCTTATATGGGGGGTAGGGCCAATTATGGACCGATCCATATAAAATTTGGTAGAGAGATTTTGGCTTATATAAAACTTACTTCTGAGAAATTTCATCGCTATATTCGTATTTTAAGCTAGTAATGAGCGTTACAGTAATTTTATAGAGGGGACCTTATATAGGGGGTAGGGTCAATTATGGATCGATCCACATGAAATTTGGTGGAGAGATTTTCACTAGTATGAAACTTACTTATGTCAAATTTCATTGCTATACTCGTATTTTTACGCCAATAATGAGCGTTAAAGTCATTTTCTGAAGGGGACCTTATATGGGGGATAGGGTCAATTATGGACCGATTCACATATAGTTTGGTGGAAAGATATTGGCTTCCATAAAACCAATGTGTGTCCAATTTCATCGCTATATTCGTATGTTTAAGCCAGTAATCAGAATTATAGTAATTTTCAAAAGGAGACCTTATATGGGGGGTAGGGCCAATTGTAGTCCTATGTCCGACATAATTCAGAATTTTAATTCGAAAGTCAAAAAAACTGACTTATGCGAAATTTTGTGCCATTTGCTTCATAAACAACGAATTTGTGAATGTTTGAAGCTTTTTACACAATATTCCGGGGGGTACATTTGTATGGGGGCTATGTGAAATCGTTGACCGATTTTGCCCATTTTCAATACCAAACATTTCTGATCAATAAAAAATATTTTGGGAAAATTTCATCTCAATATCTCTTTTTTTGTGGACGCTATCGTGCCAACAACAGACAGACGGACGGACATAGCTAGATCGTCTTAGAATCTTACGAGGTCCCAGAATATATATACTTTATGGGGTCTGTGAACAATATTTCAATGTGTTACACACGGAATGACAAAATCAATATACCCCCCCATCTTTTTTCATGGTGGGTATAAAAAATATAAATAAATAGAAAATATATTACTTTATTTATTAAAAAATATATCAAACATATGTACCTCACACACACAAATAACAAAATAATGAATTAAATAAAAACAACATAGCGATGAATTGTAAAAACAAGTTACGAATGTGTCGTAGAAGCGGATTGATGGGCTATTGTATTGTTCGTGTGAACTTGGTAAAAGGCATTTTGTAAAATATTTGGATGGTCACAAAATAAACACCACTTAAGGGGTAAAAGAGGCAAATGATATTCCTCTGGCAGCTAATTTTTCGGAGATCCATGGGCGTAGATATGCTACATTTGCATAAACACCAGGAATATTTTCTTCAGCACATCCAATACCCCAGGCAACAATACCGGCTTGATAGTAACGATTTTTAACACCAGGTATGGGACAAACCAATGGAGAACCACCATCACCTTTACACATATCCTTACCCTTCTCACCACCGGCACATATGAAACTTTCATGCAAGTTGAAATACAAACCGAGGCGAGTATTACGCAAGTATTTTTGACAGGTGTCACGAGGAACTACAGGCAAATCGATTTTCTTCAAAATCGCTTGGTAAATACTATCACGACCAAATTTGTCTTTACCCCAGCCTGTAGCATAACAGCGACTGCCATCGAAATTTGCATTAAGTTCGGGCAAGCAAATGGGACGAATGTTTTCCTGCCAAACAAAATCATCTTCCAGAATGAGAAGAGCTACATCATTGTAAAGGGCTCCTTTATTATAATTTTCATGGACAATGATTTCCTTAACATGTTTGTCAACATGGCTAAGTATTTCATTTTCATTTTGGGTATCCCATTCACCACCACGTACAACCAATTGCTGGACCTTACGATTGAATACACAATGTGAAGCGGTCAAGACAACATTTGGAGCAATCAATGAACCGCCACAATCGTACAAATGAATTATTGAACCACCAGCATCTTCAGCACGGAGAATGGCTACCATCCAGGGGAATTCAGCAAATTGAGATTCATTGTCATAGTCACCAGAGATCTTAAAGCCAACGCCATCAATGTTACGCCAACCGCAACCCTCGTGACGTTCTTTGGGAAAGGGAGGAACTACAGATTCGCTTCTCTGTAATTATTCAAATGAAAATATGTATAAGAAGTTTTTTAAAAATACATCTGGCAACATTTTAATGAAATTTTAACACTTGATAACAACCAAAAAAAAAAACTTAAAATGTTAATCAGTGTATTTGGCAGATTTAAAAATTATTTATCAAATATAATGAAGTATATATTACCTTGTTGGGTATATCACAGCATATTTCACTATAACTACAGACTTCATCAATGATACGAATATCAAACAAATTTTCGCCGGTTGTACTTATAGCACCATCAACACACAAATGTCTAGGTACACATTCCTTTTCGAGGCCACATGATTTGTAAACACCAATAGCTTTTGTTGGGACAGTTTCAATTCTTTCAGTTGTAGTCTGCACCGAAGGTGTGTTATTATTAAAAACTATTCCAATTAGATCATCCAAAGAAACTTTGTAACCACCAATAGCTTTTGTTGGGACAGTTTCAATTCTTTCAGTTGTAGTCTCCACCGAAGGTGTGTTATTATTAAAAACTCTTCCAATTAGGTCATCCAAAGAAACTTGCGCACAAGTCTGCGCAATAAATAAAGTGAAAAGTACAAATGATACGTTTGCCACCATTGTCCGACATCTACTAAATAATTAACGAATTTCAACAATATCTGTGGCCCATTTGCTTTAATTTATTTAAATATGAATGAAGAAAATTAAATTTAAGATCGTCAGGGGTTATCACAGTAAACTAGGTTTGCCAGACATATTTGTTCAAATCACAATCGATGTTGTAGCGTTGTATGCGTAGTATGTCAACAGCTGCTACAATAGTCGTAACAATGTTGTTGGTATTTTCTATGCAAAAGCTCTATACAACTCCTACGACAATTTTTCATATGTTTTTCGATTGTTGTAAGAATGTTTAGTGTTGTCAGTTGTTTATTTCAGCATATAAACAAAAAATTAAATCGATTTTGGCATAAAAAACGATAAAGTGGTAACACAGAAATCACAAACAGACAGCTGTTTACCAAAACAAACAAAAAACAAAAACTAAAATTTTATTAAAAACTGTTTATTTATTAGTTTAAAATGTGGAATAAAGAAAATAAACGAATTTTAAATTAAAAGAAATTAATTTGGTTTATTTCGCTTGTTTAATTTATTTAATATTACCTGATATTCTATTTTTTGACATTGTTATGTATTTTTGTTTTGATTGTTTTTTTTTCGTCACTGTTAATACACTTTATTAGGTACAATATACAACTTGGTTGTGAATTGTACAATTGTTTTCAGTAATTTTTATTGAAATTTTAATTCACTTTTTAACTATAGAAAACGTATTAATATCGCTAATTTGCAACTAATACCAAATTCACACGAGCAGTTGAATTGCTTAATACCAAGTTCACACGGACAGTTGAATCGCTTAATGCGGCCAATGTATTACAATAGCCAATTAACCCGTTTTTACGACACATTCGTAAATCGTTTTGACAGTCCTGTTAGTTTTTTAATTCATTATTTTGTATTTTTTTCTATTTTTTATTTGTCTCAAATCAATGAAAACACACAGTTGATTATGATAAGTACCCGATAAAAATTAGAGACGACACTCATTCATTCGCAATTCGTAGGTAATTCAAACTGAATTACGTACAGCTTGTGCAGTTCGCAGCTGAAATTTTACATGGCGAATCATGGAAATAATCCACTTGGTAATTGCGGGATTGAATGACGAATGAGAGCGTGGATGGTGAATAATTACTTCGTGTGAACTGGATATTATATCTGCTCTCAAAAAAATCTACAATTTTCGGCGTTAATGTGATTTTTTGCTGTAAACTTCAAAACTGTAATTTAAGCCGATTTTCCCGAAACATCTTTTAAATTATGTTATTCTTGTATCAAATGAGCGATATATTCACAGATTTTACTCACAGAATTTGGCATTTTTTAAGAATTAAACAAGCAAGAGTGTTATATTCGGCTGTGCCGAATCTTATATACCCACCATCAAATCATTGCCGAATAGGAATGATTCCTTATAAATAAACTTTGATATTTAAGGATCGATGCTTTTGTTAGTATCAAAAGAAATTTCTCATTTATTACATACTAGCTATACCCAGTGTGCTTTGCTACCCTAAAAGGAATATGTATAAATAAATACCAGATTTAGTATATGTTACATATGAAAGATGTCAAGCAAATTATTGCAAGTTCGCAGGTTTCTATCTATCGCCATTTCTATCTATCTATAAAAAATTTTAATAATATAAGAGTTTCCAAGATGCACGAAATTTTGTATTTAATTCATATATGTTGTGCCAAGCCACCCATTCAAAGTCCGCCCGTTATGCTCTAAATGTTCACATGAATTTCAAAGTGCTCCATGTAAAATTTGAAGATTCTAGCTTAATAGTTTCTCAGATATACGAATTTGTCTATTTGATTCATGTGGGGGCTTCAAGACCCCCCAGATGAAAGTCCGCTTGTTTTTTCTCCAAAATGTTCAGATGAATATTTAAGTTCTTCGTGCGAAATTTGAAGAATTTAGTTCCATTAGTTTTCCAGATAAACGAATTTTTGTCTTTAATTAATATGGGAGGTGCCGCTCCCCTCATGGGTAGTCCTCCAATTTATTACCCAAAATGTTAAAGTTTTTCTTGCAAAATTTGAAGATTCTAACTGTAATAGTTTCCAAGATAAACGTATTTTTGTATTTAGTTTATATGGGATAGTCCGCCTACTTTTTGTCCTAAATAATTATATTGACACTAAAGTTGCTCCGACAAAATTTGGGGATTCTAACTGTTATATTATCTACAATATACGGATTTAATATTTTCTTAATATAGGCGTGGCTCCTCGTCCACTTGGAATTTCAAAATAAAAAGTAGCCTATTACGTATTCCAGACATACAGGAATACGCTGTGAAAATTTGAATAAAATCGGTTCAGCCTTTTAGTAGTCTATAACGTTCAAACATACACATATAAACATACAAACAAACACACATTCATTTTTATATATATAGACTATGTATATGAGTTGAAAATTTCAAACTCATCCATTTAAGGGTTTTATACCTTACATATTTCAAGATATAATAATTTTCAAACTCACTAAAGGTAGATTTTTCTAATATTATTAATTAATAAGAATATACAATTTTTTGTAATTACTTCACGTGAGAGGCACCAAAATTGGGGACTCTAGCTGTTATAGTTTTCTAGATATACAGATTTTAATAATTAGATTTTAGTATTTACTTCATATGGGAGGTGGCACGCCCGCTTTTGCTGAACTCCCTATTTTGTCCAAAATGTTTGTATTTAAACAAAAGTTACTTGTACAAAATTTGGGGACTCTATACGTGGGACCTCGCTCATTTGAAATTTCAACATAAAAAGCTATTATAGCTCCTTCCAGACATACAGGGAGATATTGTGAAAATTTCAAGAAAATCGGTTTAGCCGTTTAAACTGATTAAATAAAAAACCCATTTAAAGATTTTGAAAATTTTAACTATAATAGTTTTCCAGATTAACAATATGTTACATATGAGAGATGCCAAGCAAATTATTGCAAGTTCGCCAATTTCTATCTATCTATGAAAAATGTGTATTTAATTCATATATCTGGTGCCAAGCCCCCCATTGAAAGTCCGCCCGTTATTCTCTAAATGTTCACATGAATGTCAAAGTTCTTCATGTAAAATTTGAAGATTCTAGCTCTAATAGTTTCTCAGATATACGAATTTAATTCATGTGGGCGCTTCAAGCTCCCCGGATGAAAGTCCGCCCTTTTTCCTCCAAAATATTCAGATGAATATTAAAATAATTTGTTCAAAATTTGAAGAATCTAGTTCTATTAGTTTTCTAGTTAAACGAAATTTTGTATTTAATTCAAATGGGAGGTACCAAGTACCCCATTGGAAGTCCGCCCGTTATACTCTAAATGTTCAGATGAATGTCAAAGTTCTACAAGTAAAATTTAAAGATTCTAGCTCTAATAGTTTCTCAGATATACGAATTTTTCTATTTTATTCATATGGGGGCTCCAAGCCCCCACAGATGAAAGTCCGCTCTTTTTTCCTTAAAAATGTTCAGATGAATATTAAAGTTCTTCGTGCAAAATTTTAAGAATTTAGTTCTATTTTTTTCCCAGATAAAGGAATTTTTGTTTTTAATTAATATGGGAAGTGCCGCTCCCCTCATGGGTAGTCCGCCAATTTATTACCCAAAATGTTTACATGGATGTTAAAGTTCTTTGTGCAAAATTTTAAGAATTTAGTTCTATTAGTTTCCCAGATAAACGAATTTTTGTATTTAATTAATATGGGAGGTGCCGCTCCCCTCATGGGTAGTCCGCCAATTTATTATCCGAAATGTTTACATGGATGTTAAAGTTCTTCGTGCTAAATTTTAAGAATTTCTATTAGTTTCCCAGATAAACGAATTTTTGTATTTAATTTATATGAGATGTACCACGCTCCCTAATGCTAGTCCGCTAACTTTTTGTCCTAAATGATCATATTGACAATAAAGTGGCTCCGACAAAATTTGAGGACTCTAACTGTTATATTATCTCAAATATACGGATTTTATATTTTCTTAATGTGGGCGTGCCTCATCGCCCTCTTGAAATTTCGAAATAAAAAGTAGCCTATTACCTATTCCAGACATGCAGGAATACGCTGTGAAAATTTCAAGAAAATCGGTTCAGCCGTTTAGTAGTCTATAACGTTCAAACATACAAACAAACACACATTTATTTTTATATATAGACTAAACGGCTGAACTGAACTGGCGAACTTGAAATAATTTGCTTGACATCTTTCATATGTAACATATAATAAATCTGGTATTTATTTATACATATTCCTTTTAGGGTAGCAAAGCACACTGGGTATAGCTAGTAGTCTATAACGTTCAAACATACAAACAAACACACATTCATTTTTATATATATAGATATGTAGAATTTTACCATCATATATACGTCGATATTAATTTGAATATTAGGGTCATTCAGTTCAGATCAGTTATGGTTCGATTCACATAAAATTTGGTAGAGAGAAACTTACTTCTGTGAAATTCCATTGCTATACTCGTATTTTTAAGCCAGTAATGAGCGTTTAATCATTTTTTTAATAGGGACCTTATATGAGAGGTAGGGTCAATTATGTATCGATCCTTACAACAAAGATATCAAGGTTCCTATAAAATATGTTCATGTCGAATTTAATCGCCATAGATGCTTCTTTTAGACAGTTATGAGCTTTAAAAACATTTTCTGAAGGGGACCTTATATGGTGGAGGGGTCAATTGTGGACCGATCCTTATAAAATTTTACAAAGCCATTAAGGTTCCTATAAAATATGTTCATGTCGAATTTCATCGATATGCAGTTTTTTAGACAGTTATATTTTCTGAATGGGACCTTATATGAGGGGGTAGAGTCAATTATGGATCGTTATAAAATTTTACATAGCGATTTAGGTTCATATGAAATATGTTCATCGCTACAAATGTTTCTTTAAGACAGTTATGAGCGTTAAAGTCATTTTCTGAAGGGGACCTTATATGGGGGGTAGGGTCAATTATGGACCGATCCTTATAAATTTTTACGAAGCGATTAAGGTTCATATGAAATATGTACATGTCGAATTTAATCGATATAGATGGCTCTTTCAGACAGTTATGAGCCTTAAAGTCATTTTTGAAGGGGACCTTATTTGGGGATGGGGTCAATTATCGACCGATCCTTATAAGATTTTACAAAACGATTAAGGTCCCTATAAAATATGTTCATGTAGAATTTCATCGATATATATAAATGGTTATTTTAGACAGTTATGAGCGTTAAAGTCATTTTCAGAAGGGGACCTTATATGGGGGGTAGGGTCAATTATGCATCGATCCTTATAAAATTTTACAAAGCGATTTAAGTTCCTATAAAATATGTTTATGTCGAATTTCATCGTTATTGATGATTCTTTTAGACAGGACCTTATATGGGGGCTAGGCGAAATCGTGAACCTATATTGCCCATTTTCAATACCAAACAAACTGCATCAATATAAAATATCTGTGCAAAATTTCAGCTCGCTAGCTACTTCCATTTGGACTCTATCGTGTTTTCAACAGACGGACAGACATGGCTAGATCGTCTTAGAATTTAATGAGGATTCAGAATATATATACTTTTATGGGTCTTAGACGAATATTTCAATGTGTTACAAACGGAATGACAAAAACAATATACTCCCATCTTTTTTGATGGTGGGTATAAAAACAAGAAAAACTTCAATGTTTATTGGGATATCAGATCATAAATTATGTTCCATTCTGATTGCATACTTTAAGGCATTACCAAGTATGTACTCTCCATGGTTTTCAAAATTATTCTTAAACGATTTATTAGCTCTTTATCTACACCTGTAATATTTGATGACAATGTCGCATCTCCAACAATTCTGTGCTGTTCTCTGTCTGGAAATATACTTGTTTGTAAACGGCAACTAATAAACCCATTTCTTCCCTTAAGAGTTAAGTCAATTCTGCAGACACACACACATATATATTCCAAAAATATCAAAATAATGAATGATAAAAAGACAACATGGTGATGTACTGTCAAATGAATTACGAATGTGTCGTGTAAAGGAATGTTGCTATTCTAATTCCGAGGCCGAAGAGGCCTTGATATAAAAGTGTATAATTTTAAAAATTACCGTTTTCCATACAAAACTTTAAACGGCAGCTTATAAAAATATTGCTGCCATGAGCTGAACCAGGCCATCTCGCAATCAAATCTTGTAATACTGCATGAGCGTTAAAAGCATTAAACTTTTCTGTAACGAAAATTTATTGTTTTAATATATTATTTTTATGGAAAATCCTTGATATAATGTAATAGTAATACTAGAAACAATAACAATCATTATATTACTAAAGAACCTTTATTTGTTTAATTATGTTACACAAATATGTGCATTATTTTAATTTCTCTGGAAATAATTTCAACTTAGGGAGTAAAAGGAGCAAATGGTATTCCTCTGGCAGCTAATTTTTCTGAAATCCAGGGGCGTAAGTATGGTACATTAGCATAAACACCAGGAACATTCTCTTCTGCACAACCAACACCCCAGGCAACAATACCGGCTTGATAGTAACGATCCTTAACACCAGGAATGGGACAAACCAAAGGTGAACCACCATCACCCTTACAGGTATCCTTATCCTTCTCACCACCGGCACATATGAAACTTTCATGCAAATTGAAGTACAAACCGAGGCGAGTATCACGCAAGTATTTTTGACAGGTGGCTTGAGGAACTACTGGCAAATCGATTTTCTTCAAAATAACTTGGTATTTTCCCTCACGACCGAATTTATCTTTACCCCAGCCGGTAGCATAACAGCGGCTATGATCGAAGTTGGCATTGGGTTCGGGCAAGCAAATGGGACGAATATTTTCTTGCCAAACAAAACCATCTTCCAGAATGAGAAGAGCCACATCATTGTAAAGAGCACCTTTGTTGTAGTTTTCATGGATAATGATTTCCCTAACTGGCTTGTCAACATGGTTGAGAATTTCATTGGTATTTTGAGTATCCCATTCACCACCACGTACCACCAATTGTTGGGCCTTGCGATTGATTACACAATGAGAAGCAGTCAATACAACATTTGGAGCAATCAATGAACCACCACAATCATACAAATGGATAATCTCACCACCAGCATCTTCGGTACGGAGAATGGCAACCATCCAGGGGAATTCTCCAAATTGTGATTCGTTGTCGGTGTCACCAGTGATCTTAAAGCCAACACCGTCATTATTACGCCAGCCGCAACCTTCATGACGTTCCTTGGGGAAGGGAGGAATGACAGGTTCGTTTCTCTTTTAACATGAAAAGGAAAATAAAAAATTATTGAAATTGTGAAAATAATGAATGATTATTTCATGGGATAATAAAGCTCAAATCCGACCAATAATATCATACCTTATTGGGAATATCACAGCAAATTTCACTATAACTACAGACTTCATCATTGATACGAATATCAATAAAGTTTTCACCGGTTGTACTGATGGAGCCATCAACACACAAATGTCTGGGTACACATTCCTTATCCACACCACATGATCTATAACCACCGGATTCACCGCTGCGTGGTGGACTCAAAACAGTGGTTTTTGTTGGAGTTGGTCGAAATACTTGAGTTGTAGACTCTACTAAAGGTGTATTATTATTGAAGACTTGTCCAATAAGATCGTCTAATGATAATTGCGCACATGAGTGAGCAATAAATAAACTGAATACTATCAATGATACTTTCGCCATCATTGTAAGGCCTCCACTGAAAAAATACAAAAAAAAAAAATGGAATGAACATTTAGTAAGTATAAACATTGAGTACTTGAAAAATTATATTGATAATAATATCGATATTTATTTAATTCTGAGTATAACTAAATGAGTACATATGTTATTTTTTTAATTTTAGAAATGTTTTAGAGTTCATTGGAGGTTATCACTATAAATAGTTTTATATTTTTCAAAATTTAAATGGATTAAATAATAAATTGACCTGAAATCAAATGTGTTGAAAACGATTAGATTTAGTCTTCTTAAGTCCAAAAATATAAACAAGAATTAGGCTATTTGTTTTTTGGTGAAATATTTTTAATAATTGTTTTAGTTAAACTGTAAAATTTCCAGAAATGTTTTTAATTTATTATTAATTTATACATTGTATACAGTTTTTGACGCGGCATGAGAAACAAAGACTATCAACCCAAAAATCTAGGCCCAAATCTACCCTAAGCATTTAAACAAGAACCATCTTCTGATCTAACCTATAAGATACTGCTGAAAACGTAATGAGTCATGATAGACTGGAGGGGTAACCTGTAGCGAGTATTATCTTTAGCCAGTCTATCTCATATACCTTCGAGTGATTTCCAATCTAGCCTTGAGATGTCCGACATTCGCGAACCTGTCTTGTAATGGTGTAGATACCCAATAGAAATTTAGTCGATGACAGTAAGTCTGTAGTTTTCGAAATTTGTTCTCCCAGTTCAACGATTTTCATGTGGTTAATATTACCTCAAAATTATGTTAAATTAATCACGGGGTGTTCTGCGTTCAGGTCCAAGCGTATTGGATTAGTTCATAAATACATTTTATAAAAGTACGAAAAGCTGGCCAAGATGTCGAAGTGAACACCTGTATTGAAGACCTAAAATCACGGTGATCTTTTACATCCACAGAGTGAGTTTTTTTGATGCTTTTGGTAATTTGCTCAAGTATTCGAGCTATATAATCTCCGACCATCGTTTCCACTTTATAGATCGAAACACAAATACATCTACTAAGCCAAGGACTTGTTCTTACTCACAGAGAAGAGAAGAGCAGAGTAAACCCTGAAACATGCCCGTAAAAGGAAGGAAAATTCAATGGTTTCACTTCTATAAGGTACCTTACATCCAGTCAACCCTGTACTCTCATTCATCTGACACACACACTCTTGGTATACGGGTGAGAATGATCGGCAAACCTCTACATCAATCCCGTACTATATATACTTGACAATAATTCATTTAAAACGCTTAGCCCTACAGTCATTCCTCTGCAGCACGGAACTTATCTCCAATTATAGACTTTACCGTGAATCAGTCTTTTAACCAATATTCTATTCGTGCGAATTTGGGTTTAAACCACAGTCGATATGTGCATAATCGGGCAAGACAAAGTCCGAAACTCTGTCCTGAGGGTTACTGGTTCGCGTAGTACCAGATTATGTGGTTCTCTGGTTCGACAATATGCAAAATCATTCCAATGAAAGGACGAGGATACATTACAGTTTATAGTCCCGGCAGACTAGAGGTACTGTTAGCACCTCTTTTCGCCGATATTGCAATAACACCAAGATGAGGTAGGCTAGGCAGTTGAAAATGTGGTGCGTACCGTGGGGACCCTGATGGGTCTAAGTGGGACCAGTAGATGTTAAGCCTACTGTTGCCAGAACAACTCTTTTTTTTGGGACAGGCTTTTCTCCGGTGGTCGACTTCTAAGTACGACATTTATGCGGCGATCTGAAAACGCTTTATTGATGGCGTTTCTATATCGCTCCTGTATACGAAGTACGAACTAAGGAATCTTGCACATAATTTTGTATGCTCTTGTATGGTAGAAGGTCCTTTCTGGCATTCCTCGGGAGAGCATCTAACTGTGGGATAACTCCTCTGGTGACATCCCAGTGGGAACTGTTAAGTCAGCCTAACATTATATTCCTAGATTGGGAGCACCTTCGTTTTCTCGTGAAGGTGGTGCTCAGATTTTATTACAACCCGTTTCAGTATGTTGGGGAATATTTTTATATCTTTGAATACTTCTCCAATAGGTATCACTTAGCGAAAGAGACTACACTGAAGCAGCATTCGGAAGCAGCTGTTGGTTCTACATAATGGAACTAGAAACAACAGAAACAACTGCTAGAAAAGCAGACAGGAAAACAACAGAAATCATTCCTATGGCTTGTATAGAAGGAAATAGCTGCCATTTAAATTCTCAGCTGGAAATATAGATTCTAAGACTGTTTAAAATCCAGAAAAATGCCTCCAGTTCTACGCCATTAAGACATGGTAATAGAACCGGAATATACTTATACTTTTTGGAATATAGTGCAAGTTAAGTTTTCCAATATTAATAAGATACATCGACTCAGTCATCTTCGTGAAGTTTGTAGGCATAACAAGTTCCACTAAGAGATAGTTAAGGGCGATATTCCATAGAATATTCCATAGAATATGTGATTGATTTCTAAGTAATTATGGAACTGAAGGGAATAGTTAATTAAATCGGATGGTAAAAGCTTGTGTACACAATAGAAGTGTGTTAAATTATCTCATTATTTTGATTAATATTTTATAATACTGGACTTGTTACCGGTATCATTGCAGTATAAACAATTATATGTTAATAATGAAATATATAAAAACAGGTTCTGTTCCAAATTAGTATAAGTTACAAACTCATTTATTATCAAGGTCAACGCGTATATATTTTTAAATATAATTGAAATATTTGCCATTTTTTAAAAATATATATTTTTAGATAACGGACTTATATTTTTGAACCAGATGAATATTGTTTCTATTAAAATTTTAAATTTATAGAATTTTTTTTAAATTTTAAAACATTTTTAGATTTTAATTTAGCGCTCACAAAAATAAATGTTTAAGACAACTAAAAAACATTACTATATAATGTGTAGGTAATGTGTATTTATAGTATTATAGTGTGTACATGTGTATTGTATAAATTTTATACAATACACATGTACACACTATAATTAAGACTTTTAAAAAGCTTATTTAACAAATTTTACTGGCAAGTGATTCAACAATATTTTATGTAAAAATCCCCAAAAGTTTTAATGTGTTTATATCCAGCATGATACATTCATATTGTTCAAATATTTGTATTGAATCATGAAACTACTAATTAATTTTCCTCTGAATTAAGATTTAGTAAAAATTGGACTTAATATCTTATCAAATAAATGCCTTAACATTTAGCCCAAAATTAATATTTAGTCAAATATTTGAATATTGTGAACGTACGTCACTTATGCAAAATATGTATGTGTGGATGCCAATAATTGACTTTTAAGTCAAAATTGTACTTGAATATTTCTTGGAAATATCAGTTAATCGATAATAATAATGAAATATATAATTATACGTATAATTTTATACTTTACGGAAGTTTAAAATTAGGTTGTATGAAGTTATTGGCAGAAGTCATAAAAAATTCTTATTATTTGTTGTCAATCAAATAAATAACTAGTTTATTTATGACTCGTATATGATTGACTTCAATTCAAACCGGACATTTATGAGCAAAACATTTACTTTAAAATGGGATTTACTTTTGTAATTATATTTTAATATACAATGTAAATATTTACTCAGTCCAGAGTTAAGTTATAACCGTTTTTAACAATACAAAAAAATTCGCTATGGGAAAAAAAACATTCCCCTCACTTAAATAACCAAATATTTCAGTTATCTAAATTTCTGTAACTTTCGTCTTGCACATCAAATATATTGCCGAATATGTTTACGTCAATATACATACAATTTTATATGCATATGTATGTATATACAATTTTCAATAAAATTATTTTTAGACTGTCATGCATATTAATCTAAATCCATTAAATAATCTAAAATGTTAATAAATTTTAGAGGTAAAAGTTATCTTTGGTTTATAAATTGTTGTTTTATACAAATTATTTGAGAAATTATGTTTTCATTTTAGTTTTTAACTTAGTTATTTTCGATTCTAATGATTTATAAACTATAATTTTATATAGACATTTTCGCAAAGTATAAAATCTGATTTTCTGGAAAAGGCTTTCTATGGGAACTGGGTTCAAATATGGACAGATCAAATCTAAATTTGGTGGTTGACGTTTAAGACATTTTCTTGAGAGGGCTTTGTGTAGCTAGGATCAATTGATGCACTATAATTAAAGGTACAGTTAAACATGGTGGAGGCTCTAGATATACGGAGGTAAAGCTCCACTGGTTTAGGTTTCCCAACATGACAATGACCCGAAGCAAGTATCGAACTTAAGGAATTGTTGGGTGAATCAAAATTAAAAGTTCTTGAGTGAACAGCTCAATAGTTTGACCATAATACTATTGAAAATCTTTGGAGGATCATTAAAGAATCATGAGGACCTTAGACATTTAGAATACTTCAACTGATCATCAAACAGATAACCAGAAATATAAGGCAGAATCTAAAAAGAAGTGCTGACTGCACTAGAACTGCAGTGCTGAATGCGGAAATAAAGCTCCAATGCTTTGGGGTTTCCAACATGACAATGACCCGAAATTTTTTATGGAATGTTTGAGTCAATCTTAAGTTTCTTAAGTGAACAGCACAATCGAGTGAACAGAACATTATTGAAAATCTTTGTAGGATCGTTGAAGAATCATGAGGAACTTAACCCTATGTTGGATTATATCTAGACAATAGAAGGCCAGAGATGTCAGTTGTTTTTCATAATAAGTCTAAGTGTGATATTAACGCTATATTATGCAAAATTTTTCAACCGATCATTAAACAGATTCCCAATAGTATAAGGTAGGTTTGGCTGTTCCAACATGACAATGACCCGAAACATTTGTCGAAACTTGTTAAGGAATGGTTGAGTCAATAAAAATTGAGAGTTCTTGAGTGAACAGGTCAATCGTCTGACCATAATACTATTGAAAATCTTTGCGAGGATCGACAAATAATCATAAAGACCTTGACCCTAAGTTGGAAAATGTCTCGACAATAGAAGGCCAAAGATGGCAGTTGTTTTTCAAGGTAAGTACAAGTATGACATTCATGCTATATTATGTAGAATTCTTCAACCGATCATCAAACAGATTCTCAGGAGTATAAATTAGATTCTAATAATAAGTGATAACTGCGCTAGAACTGAAGTGCTAAATGCAGAAGTAAAGCTCCACTGGTTTGGCTGTTCCAACATGACCCGAAACATGCATCGAAATTTGTTTAGGAATGGTCGAGTGAATCAAAATTAATAGTTCTTGAGTGAACCGTTCAATCGTTTGACCATAATTCTAATGAAAATCTTTGGAAGATCATTAAAGAATCATAAGGAGCTTGTTGGCAAATGTCTCTTCAATACAGGGCCAGAGAGGTCAGTTGGTTTTCATTATAAGTCTAAGTGATATTCACGCTATATTATGCAGACTTCTTTAACCTATCATCAAACAGATTCCCATGAGTATAAGGTAGAATCTAAAAAAAAGCGTTGACTGCAATAGAACTGAAGTGCTGCATGAGGAAGTAAAGCTCCACAGGTTTGACTGTTCCAACATGACAATGACCCGAAACATGCATTGAAATTTCTTAAGGTTCAATGAATCAAAATTAAAAGTTTTTGAGTGAACCGATCAATCGTTTGCCCATGACACTATTGAAAATCTTTGGAGGGTCGTTCACGGTAAGTCTAAGTGTGACACTCATGCTATATTATGCAGACTTCTTTAACCGATCATCAAACAGATTCCCAGGAGTATAAGATAGATGTAAACAGAAGTGATGACTTTAATAAGGAATTTTCTATGCACGACCACTGACACTCAATGGCCTTAAGAATTGCTTAATTTAGAGATATATTTTAATGTTTACAAATATTAATTATGAATTTATAATTAATCGAGACTTCTGGGCAAACATCCAGCACTGATCAATAGGTTGGACCCCTTTTCGTTGGTTAGTTGGTTTAGAATTATCACTTGTATGCAATCCGATGTTAAGTTTTACAAAGTATTTCATTTGCGTTAAAATTTAGATTCGTTTTAAAATTTCCCGGATTTCTAGAATTTTACGCTTGAACAATTACGATTTAGCGCTCGTATAAGTGTGAACTTTTTATAAAAATTATTTAAAAACATATTTTATTCGAAAAACTAGTTTAACAATGGCATCTTATTTAAACTCTTACCCTAGTCCACATTATATCTAGAATAAACTCCACATATGGCCACCCTAGTTTACCAAAACTAGATTAGTTAAAAAAAAAAACAGAATCAAGTTTATTGATGTTATAAAGAGAAAATATTAAACCGGATAATTTGGGACATCATTTGGTCAAGTTTAAAATATCTTAGAGGTTTTAAACAAATACATTTAAAAATAATATTTAAATTTATGAATATCAAGTGTTTGTATTTTAATTACCAATATTGTAAATTTAGAAAATAAAAAGTAATAATTAACAAGTTTGTTTGCTTGTCTACCGGTTACGTATGATCAAATTTCGCATTAAACAAAATTAATGGCAAAATATACAACTTTTTTTCATTTGTTTAGAGTATGAGAACTGCATATCATTTGAAGATTCTAATTTGTATAAATTATTTTTATTTAAATAATAATTAACAACAAAAATAATATTTTGCGCAAAAAAGTACACAAGGCTTAAACAAAAAAATTATTAATAAAAAAATTAATAAATTGGTTTTCTCATTGAACTTGACTGTTAAGTTTAGTGGTTATTATAACCGTTAAAACGATCGATGGTCTATAATTTATTGTGTAGATTTTATTTTTGTTCTTAACAATAGATTTTTGGTACAACAACATTACACACACATCACAGAAATAAATACATAATATTGAATAAACAAAAAAACACAATCAAGTTATTATATATTAAAGTTTAAAACTCACAATTAGTTTGATTGAAACAACAAAACAACAACAGAACGGCCAATTACGAAAACAAAACAATTTCTTCGCTTAAAACAACCGCTCAGTTGAAGAATCTAAAAAGAACTGATCGTACTCGTTTCATTCAATGATCATCAAAAGCTTGAACCTGAGTTGAGAATCTTGAAAATGTTTTTTCTACTCATAGATATTTAATTATAGATACGAAATACAGATACACTTGAAGAAGTTCGTATAGTTGTAGATGTGTTAAAAGAAGATGAGCAAGTTTATTTATTGTGTGGAAGATGCGTAGCATTGTCAAAGCTTTAATGTAAAATATGAGCTTTTTTTCAAATTACAACTAAGGCTTAAAGCACATTCACAATAGTGACAGAATATAACAACAATAATGAAAATGTTTAATTAAACGTTAAGTTTTAAAGTTTTTAAATATTTTTATACGTTACTTTTCATCCATAAATATGTATATACGCAACGAATATGTTGTACCCTACACCAGACATGGAAAATACAAAAAGAGTAAGTTTTAAGGTTTTGAAGTACTAAACTAATTTTCTTCTAGACATACACTGCAGACGAGACTACAGGCCAAAGTATTGATTAGACCATAGACTATACTACAGAATGGACTATAGACTAGACCATTCTGTAGCATAGTCTATGGTATAGTCTACATATACTAGGCTATAGACTAGACTATAGACTAGACTATAGACTAGACTATAGACTAGACTAGACTAGACTAGACTATAGACTAGACTATAGACTAGACTTTAGACTAGACTATAAACTAGACTATAGACTAGACTGTAGACTAAACTATAGACTAGACTAAACTATAAACTATACTATAAACTAGATTATAGACAAAACTATAGACTATACTATAAAATATACTATAGACAAGATTATATACTCCACTATGAACTGGACTATATACTTGACTATAGACTAGACTATAAACTATACTATAGACTAGACTATAAACTATACTATAGACTATACTATAGACTAGACTATAGACTAGACTATAGACTAGACTATAGACTAGACTATAGACTAGACTATAGACTAGACTATAGACTAGACTATAGACTAGACTATAGACTAGACTATAGACTAGACTATAGACTAGACTATAGACTAGACTATAGACTAGACTATAGACTAGACTATAGACTAGACTATAGACTAGACTATAGACTAGACTATAAACTATACTATAGACTAGACTATAGACTAGACTATAGACTAGACTATAGACTAGACTATAGACTAGACTATAGGCTAGACTATAGACTAGACTATAGACTAGACTATAGACTATACTATAGACTAGACTATAGACTAGACTATAGACTAGACTATAGACTAGACTATAGACTAGACTATAGACTAGACTATAGACTAAACTATAGACTAGACTATAGACTAGACTATAGACTAGACTATAGACTAGACTATAGACTAGACTATAGACTAGACTATAGACTAGACTATAGACTAGACTATAGACTAGACTATAGACTAGACTACAGACTAGACTATAGACTAGACTATAGACTATACTATAGACTAGACTATAGACTAGACTACAGACTAGACTATAGACTAGACTATAGACTAGACTATAGACTAGACTATAGACTAGACTATAGACTAGACTATAGACTAGACTATAGACTAGACTATAGACTAGACTATAGACTAGACTATAGACTAGACTATAGACTAGACTATAGACTAACTATAAACTATACTATAGACTAGACTATAGACAAAACTATAGACTATACTATAAAATAAACTTTAGACAAGACTACATACTAAACTAGGAACTGGACTATATACTAGACTATAGACTAGACTATAAACTAAACTATAGACTATACAATATATTAGACTTAACTAGTCTAAACTATAGACTAAATTATACTAAATTTTAGACTAGACTATAGATTAGACTAAAAAATAGAATATAGACTAGACTGTGGACTATACTACAAACTATACTATACACTAAACTATTGATAAGACAATAGACTAGTCTATGTATAGTATAGTCTACAGTCTAGATTATAGACTACTAGCATACCCTGGGTGCTTCGCTACCCTAACTTAAATTAAATACATACAAATTTTGTTTACTTTTATAGAAAATTAAAATTGATTGAACATAATGTTTCAGTTTTATACGTTCAATATCACGAGATTAAATTCGCATTCAGTAAGAAGCCTGTATTTTTAGTTTCATGCATTTAGCTTCCACATTATAAAAAATTTCGAAAGTACTATTTGAAAAAAAGTACTCTAAAATACCTCTAATAGATTATCATTTAATCAAACATTTTATGTTTCTGTGTTCAATATTATATATAATTCAAAAAATATAATTTTAATGAATGAAAAAGTACCAAAAGTCCCGTTCAGTAGATTCTCATTCACTAAGGTTCCTACATTTTAAATTTTATTTTCAATATCTATGTTCAATATCGTAAAAATATCAAAAAGTACCATCGGAAAAACGATAAAGTACAAAAATCTCTCTCAATAAATCTCATTTAATAAGGACCGTGTGTTCCGATTAACCATTATAATGAAGAATAGAAAAGTACCAAATAGTTCCCACTTACAGAATATTATTCAGTCAAGACCATGTATGTTAAAGTTAATGTTCCTTAATGTTGAATATTTTAGAAAATTAAAAAAGTACCATTTATGAGATAAAAAGTACTAAAAAGTTCTCTATTAAAGAATCTTGTTCAATGAGGACCGTGTATGTTCATGTGTTTTGAATTCATATTAAAGAACATACAAAGAGTATCATTTGAAGAAAGAAAAAGTACCAAAAGTGGAATAAATTTTACCTAAGTGGAAAGTACTAATAAGAAGAGTACAATTTTTCCCCTTTTCGCTTAGAAATATACTTTTTCGAGAATTAAGTTTACAAAATGTTCCGTATTTAAATCTTTATATCACAGATAAAACTCAAAAGATTCAAATCTGCATTCATTTGTTCCAGAAAAATAGTGCTTTCAAAAAGTACTAAATAATTTACTCGAATTTGGACCTATATGGGCCTTAGTACTCGAATTCCAAAATAATATACCGACAGCTTATTTTGTGTGAGTAAATAAACTACTTTTTCATATTTTATAAAAATTGGCTCAATGAGTTTGAATAAAATTAAATTTTCCCTTTTTGGTACTTTTTTCTTCAGTGAAATAGCAAAAATTTTATTACAATAAATATTACAGAATTAGTCCGTAATTTAATAGAAATAATTCAATAAACCGAAAAAGTTTTCTTAATGTGCTAAAAAAAAAGTACCATAAATACAGTTTTCTCCCTTTTACACACAAAAAGGACTGAATTTTAAAAAAGTACGAAACAGGTGTCTCATAATATTGGGAGATGTATCCAAAATATTTATAAAAATTTTATTATGTTAATTAGTTCAAAAGTTATAAAGGGCCAAAAAAGGTACCAAAATCACCTTTGTTACACATTTTTACCCCTTAAAGTACGAATTTCAAAAAAGTACCAGACACCCATCTGCTCATTTTAAGAGTAGATACAGGTGCATTTAAAATTTTTCTCATATCACTAATATTGTGTAAGATAATTAAGAAAACCTGCTTTACCCGTTTTTTCCCCTTTTTACCCGTAAATGTACAAATTTCCAAAAATCTCTCCTTAGAGGATCTACATAACCAAAAACACATCTACTGTCAAAATTTCATGATTCTAGGTTCAGCCTTTTGGGCTGTGCGATAATGAATCAGTCAGTCAGTAACGCTACTCTTATATATATATAGATTAATGCAAAGTAGACAAGACTATAACACGTCTATAGACTAGGCTATATATATACCACACCGAAAATGTCGTTGGGGTGCAATGGTATTTTTTTGTATTAAAAAGTATTTAAGTACTGAAATATCCAAGGCTTCCCTACACCACTCTAGTGCAGAGTTTATACTGATTTTTCCGTCATAATGCGACGTTTAAAAAGTAAGTACCGGTTCACACAGGCAAACTTTATTTGGGAAACTTTTGATTTTGTGTGTGAGAGGAAGAAATGGTTGATATTTCCTTCTCTCACACACAAAAATCAAAAGTTTCACAAAAAAGTTTTCCTGTGTGAACCGGCACTAATATTCCCAAATGAAAATTAAGAAATTATTGTAGATAATTCAATTAGCATAATAACAATAACTTCATTTCATACGAGAGTGGCAGCTTTCCTAAAGCAAGTTGCTTTTTGCCGGTTTATACAAGGAAACTTTTGATTTGGAGTTTGAGAAAAAGAGAACGAAATATCAACCTCTCTCTATCTCCAACACACAAAATCAAAAGTTTCCCTGTGTGAACGTTGCAGTGCAACAAAGTCACATATTCCTAAACACAACTACATATGCAAGTGTTGACAATGCATTACATTCCGAAAGTCATTTGTTTTTCAGCTGCAACGCAAATATACGCAACTGGTGCATCAGTTAAATTGGTTAAGCTTTTTGTAAACAGTGGCGGATAAAGAAAGGTATCTTATTTGAAATTAAATATTTAATAAAATTGTTTAATTATTCGATATTTCTTCTATAACACATGCAAAATTCTTGTTTTTTGGTATTTTCTTTGGAATATGTTGTTCAAGTAGAAAAATTGCATAACGTTTTCGTTTTGAAACAAGTCTACTTTTAATTACTTGGCTCCTGGAGCTGTTCTTACTACACAAATCATCGCTTCCATTGTTTATTTTCACAAATTGTTTATAATAATGCAAAGTAAACAAATGTGTCTAAACGTCGTCAGTGTTGCAAAATTTAATATGACAACACAATTTGTTTTTCTGTGTTGCTAAAGGACCCTTTATTTTAACACAACTTTGAAGCTGCAATCAGACGTTTAGGAAGGCAGCCAGTATTGATGAAGAGCTTGATTTAAAAAAACGGAGCGTTATGTACAGAAATTAATTCTGATAGATTGGTTCAACTTAAATGTTAAATAATACAAACTACAAAGAAAATATTTTTCCACATAAGTAAGTAGCCACAACAGCTAGTAACAATCCAATTTTTAAACCTAAATCTTACTGGTTTTCCTCTTATAAATTGCTTGGATGTATGGCATTCAATATATTACATCATTCATTCGTCAATTAAAAGTTTTTCGTGTATGTATTCGAATTCGAATTTAGAAGGGTACTTACAGCTTCTACAGCCAATAGCAGAGTCTATAGACTTTCACCAAATAGTCGACGGTATGTTATTTAGATATCTGTTGCCAGCCTTATCCGCAATTCAAACAAACTTTGAAAGTGGAAAAAAGTTTTAACAAGTTTAGTATCCACCAATTAAGTGTTTGTGGTTAAAAACAAATTTTGATATTTCCACTGAAGCAGATGTTATACAAATGACAAAGGATGCTGTTCAACAAATTTTCGATAAGGACATTACATCGTCAATCGATTCACAGAGTAAAGTGTTAAATTACTTCGATTTTTCTATTTGTGGTAATTATCTAATCGCGTAATAATTAAAAAAAAAAAAAACATAAGCCATAATATTTTAAAATTTATTACAGAAAGTCAAAAAATACATTGTTTTTCAATATTCCCTCCAAAGTGAAATACATGGCATATTTAGAAGATTCTTCAAAATTTTTAATGGGTCTATTATGTATAGCAACCAAACTTTAGTTGAGTTGCCAGCAGTAAAGGCAACTGACAGAAAACTTTTTACTAATCGACAATTATTTTCTATTTCAATATTTTGATTAAGAAAGGCTGTGCCAGATATTTTCTAATATTTCTTCCAAGGAGGTCATTATCGTACATTTCAGATTGTGATCGAAATCATCTCTCGAAATTTATGTATCATTACTCTTCCAACCATTTATAGTTCAAAACTTGAAGAGAGCCTTACGGCTGTCAAATTTTCCATCCGCATTTTAATTTTTGGGCAGCAGTTCGACAAGGAGACAAGGCATTCAAAAAGTAAGAAGTTATAGTCGGGCGAGGCCGACTATAATACCCTACACCAGTTATAAAAATAAAATGTGATTTAGTGTTCATAATAAAGCATTTAAGTTGAATTGTACCTGTTACCCATTTTCAATAGGATTCGTCTCTAGTACAATAGAAGATCATGTTCAAAATTTCATTGAATTATGTTCAAAATTGCGACCTGTACTTTGATTACAAGGCTTTTCGGGGTTCAGTAGTTTGTGTGGTGTAGGCTATAAAAATTATAGCTATTTCCCCTAACGTGTAACTATCTCGTTGGCTCTAATTCATCTATCGTTACGAATGTCGTCACAGTTAATGAGAAACTTTATAAAAGTTTAAAAATCAAATACAAATGTTTAAAATATGGAAACGTATTTCTACTTTATTTACACAGATTTGTATTTTTTGGTAGGAAATTCGAACACATTTTTATCCAATTCAATACTTTCGTTTGTATTGTGTTTTAATTTTGAAACACATAAATACCAAAATTCATCCCCATTGTATGCGATGAATGACAAGTGGACGGAGGTGTAGTGCGCAGATACAGTAGAGAAATTCTAAATTCATCCATGCGATAAAATCAACATTGATTGCCACCACTCCGATACAGTAGATATATATGTACGTGAGGTTGTTGGTGCGTTCACTCATTCATTTTTTTTTCATCATTCAAATAATTTTTTTTTTTCTTTCTCAAAATTTTATAACGAACACAAGTGTTGCGGACAAAAAATAAATAAATAGAAAAGTACTGTGAAGACAAAATAATAAATTTACAATAAAAATATTTGAATTTATTAAATACAAATTAATTAAAATCAATTGAAAAGTAAAATTGAATTGACTGGAGTTTAATGTTATGTACCCATAGTGGGGCTGGTTGACGGTCTTGATGTTGAAATATTTTTGTGCCACAGTGGATTTTGTCGTTGGATTATAATTCTTCATTATAACGACAACAACAACAGCAACGCCAACAGAAAACGCTTAGAAAGCATTTTTTTACAAAATTATTCCATTTTATTTATTAAACGATAAAATTATAAATAAACATTTAAAGAGTTCATCCATACATAATACATTTGCAAAAGTCACAAGATTTAATAAACAGCGGTCTAGATTTCTAGAGAACGTAGAAATAAAAAAAAAACAAAATTTATAAACCTCTATAGTACGGAGAATAAGAATTAGATCAAATCCATTTTGTGGTTATGTTATTATTCTTATTCTGTTCTCCCATTTGTTGCCAATATTCTATATTACAAAATAACTCTATTCTGATTGCTGCTACAACACTGTGAAAAGTTTACATAAAAGTAATTTTAAAATAATTGCAATTTCTATCAATTGCCATGAACACAATGGGCATCTCAACAGATCCGGCTCTTTTAGATGTTGAATTGCCTCGCACTCTCATCGAATCACCATCGGTATCGACATTTTTACCTGAAGAAGAGGCCTCCATTTGTCCACTGCTGTCGTCCAATACAAATGGTACCACAACACCACTTACCTTCTCACATCCACTTACACCGTGCATTGACAATGATAACGATAGCAATACATCGGCGAATCTTTGTAATGAGGATGCCAAGGTCGAAACAAGTTCATCGTCAGGCAGCAGCTCTGGCATAGGAATGAGTGTTCCAGATGCAACATCAACGGCTCTATTCAACAAACACTCGTACAAACATTTGCAAAAGAATAATTCTTCAGTTCAGGTAAATATGTATATTTGTGTATTTGGGAAAAAGAGTGCGAAATGTTCATAGACTCGCAAAAGTATATATACTGGGTTCTTATTAAATTCTAAGACGATATAGCCTTGTCTGCCTGTCTTGAAATCACGATAGGGAGAAGCTAGACATATAAAATTTTGCCTTAGCCCATCGACCAACAGTTCAAAGGGCTAAAAACAAGTTCAAAATGCTAAAGCAATCGTCATAAAACTTTGCTTACTTTTGTTTAATGCAACCAAAAATTATATTATACTGTGGACTTTGGACCATAATTGACCCTACCTCCCATATAAGATACTCTTCAGAAAATCACTTTAACGCTCATAACTGACTTAATAATACCAGTAGAGCGACGAAATTTGACATAAAGAAGTTTTTTAGAAACGAAAATCACATTACTAAATTTTATGAAGATCGGTCCATACCTCCCATATAAGATCCTCTTCAGAAAATCACTTTAACGCTCATATATATTTTGGGTCCTTATTAAATTCTAAGACGACCTAGCCATTACTGTTCGTCTGTCTGTTGAAAGCACCATAGAGTCCATAATTGACCCTAACCCCCATATAAGGTCCCCTTCAGAATATGATTTTAACGCTCATTACTGGCTTAAAAATACGAGTATAGTGATGAAATTCGGTACACATAAGTTTTAATGAAGCCAAAATCTATTTATTAAACTTTATGTGGATCGGTTCATAATTGACCTTACTCCCCATATAAGGCGCCCTTCAAAAAATTACTTAAACTATCATTACTGGCTTAAAAATACAGAATACAGAAAAGCGATGAACAAATCACATATATTTTTATACGAGTTAAAACCTCTCTACAAAATGTATTGAGGATCGGTCCATAAGAAAATTATTTTAACGATCTTTGCTGACTTAAAAATACGTGAATAGTGAAATTTTATATAAGAAATATTTATAGGAACGTAAATCTTCCTACCGAATTTCATGCGGAAAATTTTGGGAAGTGATATTCGATGTAAAATTGGTCTAAAAAATTATTATGAAAAGTTAATTTGATGAGTAATTATAGGGGAGCATTCCTTTTAAGGCCATAAAAGTTTGCTTACTTTTGTTTTATTATAATGTATGGTGGACTTTGGACCATAATTGACCCTACCTCCCATATAAGACCCTCTTCAGAAAATCACTTTAACGCTTATAACTGGCCTTATAATACCAATAGAGCGACGAAATGCGACATATCAAAGTTTTTTAGAAACAAAAATCACTTTAGTAAATTTTATGAAGATCGGTCCATACCTCCCATATAAGGTTCTCTTCTGAAAATTATTTAAAGCTCGTTATAGCGATGAAATTCCACATAAACCAGTTTTATAGGAACCTAAATATATCTATTAAATTTAATGAGAATTTGTCCATAATTGTTCATATAAAGTACCCTTAAGAAAAAGGCTTTAGTGCTCATAATTAAGATATAAATACTATGAAGTCAGTAAAAATACTTCTGATATAAAACGATAGTTTAATGAGAATTTGTCCATAATTGACCCTATCCCCTTAAATAGTCCCGTTAAGAAAAAAGCTCATAATTAAGATATAAATACCATGAAGTCAGTAAAAATACTTTTCTCTCAAAGAGAAGTAGTAAGTAGTTCACAGTAAGTAGATTATAATTGGACCTACATCCTTTCAAACTAAGTAACTAAACTAACTCTTTATCTGTAAAGTTCGGTACATAATTGACTCAAGTTACAAAAAGTCCATATTTCCGAAAATCACCTTATGCCACCTTATCACCATATCACTATCTATTGTATATATTAGCCCAGGAAAATAAGAGTTTTGCTGAGGAATTTTAGATAGCTAACCCAACAAAGTAATGAGTTCAAAAGCTAATAAATCCACTTTTCACTACTAACTCATAGGCATTCGCTTACAAATAGTGACTTAAATACTTACCACGCTCGCTTACTTTGTGGTTATCATATGTCCGACAATGTTCGACTACACTTTCTTATTGTTTTTCTTTAAAATTATAAATCATTCGTTCATAAAACTATTAGAACTTGATGAAAACCCCTTTAGATGATAATTGCGTGATCAAAAAGATTTACGTTAGTTTCAAATTTCCATATGAGTAGGAAAGAGAGGGGAATATAATTTTTATTTATTCACTTAAAAAGGTGTGAAAATAAAACAAGTAAGATATTATAGTCGAATGTGGCCAACCATATGATAACCTACACCTGGTATGAGAATAAAATTTATTTATCATTTATAATTAAGCATTTATGTAAAATATGTAGTACCTTGCCTAAATTGAAAGAAATTGAAAAACTCTTTATTTGGGGGCCGGGGGATAATATGGAACGATCCTAATACAATTTTGTGAATGTATTTACATTCACATCAAAAGAATAAAGTCGCAGCATTGGTCATTTTTAGCGAATTGTGGACATTTAAGTCATTATCTGATAGGGGCTAAGGTCAAATGGGGTCCGATAATTCAAAATTCGACAGGGTCATCAAGGGTAGTAAAACCTCAGTTGTGCCACATTTTCTTGAAATACGAGTATATTAAACAATATTAAGATCTAAAAAGCCCAAATCGGAGGGTCCGGTTGTATGGGGACTAAGTGAAATTATGGACCGATCCTAACCATTTCCAATAGGCTTCGACCCTGAGTTAATAGAAGATCACGTAACGAATTTATTATCTTCAAAATAGCGACCTGTAGTTTGATTACAAGGTTTACATGGACGGATGGACATATCTAAATCGACACAGAGAGTGATTTTAAGCCGATTGGTATACTTTAAGAGTATAGGACCAATATTATTGTACGTTACAAACATCAGCTAAATGGTGTAGGGTATAATAATATATTAGAGATTCTATCTCTTATACGTATACATATGTACACAGGTACTCATGAGAATTTAGAAAAATAAAACAGAAAATCTTTCTGAGTTTCTAAGATCAACTTTAGTAAGAAATAGACTTTATATTTGTGTTATACAAACGATAAAAAGAGATATAGAAATATAGTACTAATTAATTGTGTTTATTTTTAGTTATGGTTGGTTTTTTTGCAAACTATTATTAATAAATATTATTCGTACTCAAATAAATATTTACATTCATATTGTATATTCTTCCATTTTTTGACAGGATTCAAATGGTCATGGACCCAATGGAAATCTACAACTTACTAATGACACACCATCCTTTGTTTCCTGGAATTGGCCGCTAATACGTAAATGTACTTTCTTTGTCTTTATGTCCAGTTTGCTGGCCATGTGTGCCATAGTGGTGGCCATGATTGTAACGCTACCCAAAACCTGTAATCCTAGGTAGGAGTAAAATTTTAATAAAAAAATAAAAATTTAATACAAATGAATAATTCTTTTTTTCAGAACCGCTTGGTATCGTGGTAGTGTTTTTTACGAAATATTCCCTGCCAGTTTTCATGATTCCGATAACGATGGAATTGGTGATTTGCGTGGCATTGTTAAAAGTACCGACTATCTGAAAGCATTGGGTGTCTCGGCAATACGTCTTAATTCTATATTCCCATCTACCGAATATCCAGATAATTATGAAAACATTACCTCTTTAATGGAAGTTTCTCATGTTTTAGGCAATTTGGAGGACATGCATCAACTAAGTCAATCATTACATGCACGCAATATTTCGTTAATTTTGGATATACCATTGTTTCCTATCTTAAAGGTATTGGGTAAATCTGATGGAGCCGAGATGGTCAAGGTACTGGCTGATACACAAATCAATAACTCTGAAGCAGAATCAGTTTCAACAACTACCGCCAGACCGATTATTACCGAGAATACTATAACTCAGGCTTTACAACACTGGGTGAAAGTTGGAGTGGATGGTTTCTATATCAAGGGTCTTGAGAAATTTGATGATCTTGAAGATATAGCTTATCATTTAGCAGAGTGGAAAGATATCATTGGTCCTAATCGTGTGCTAATTGTTAATGAGAAAATATTTGAAAAATTGCAAGGAGCCCAAAGAAAATTGGCCCTTTCACATGTTGATTTGGTGGATGTCCACTTGAATATTTTCAATGGCACTGAGTATTTGGAAAATCGCATTAATTCCATTTTATCTTCCGACTTGGGACCCACTGATACTGGTGTATGGATTCATTGGTCATTGGCCGGTGTTGACAGGCAGCGTCTTACTAGAAATAAACAAAGCACCAATTACACCTTGGCTGCCACCATAATGCAACTAATGCTTCCCGGTACACCAAATATTTTCTATGGTGACGAAATTGCTTTACAAGCGGCCCACGATCAACTTAATGAACACAATGAAACCAAACATTTGCATCATTTAGCCACCATGCAATGGCCTCAGAACTTTAGTCAACAATTTACTAATCGCGAAACCCTACCCTGGTTGCCCAAATCACCACAAGCTGAATTGGACACTTTCATTCTCATATCGAAGATGGTGGATTTACGCGATCGTTCTCCTTCCATTTACAAAAATTCCATTTGTAAAGCGGAAACTATACTTCCTAATACCGTAATAAGACGCAGTAACGATGATATCTTAATAGTGGAACGTACGTATCCACGTCGCAATACCTTTGTGTCGGTAACGAATTTTGGTCAAAAACGTTTGACCATGGATATGACTTCCATGTACTATAGTGGTCATATTATGCTGGAGACAGTCGATAGTGACAAAATCTATTTTGGCGAATTTAAAATCGGCTCAACCGAAAGCATTGTGGTTCGATTGGATAAATAAAATAAAACAAGAAAATTTGTAGGTTCCAAATTGAAAACCACCGTAAAATGTACTTAGAATTGTTATAAATCATTATTTGTTATAAATATTACATACTTACATACAAATTTCAGTTATTTTTTAATAAAAAATAAACAAAATTGTACTTTAATAAAAAAAAATAAACAATAATAGCCATGTCTTTAATAACCTGGTTGGGTAAAACGAATTAAAATAGGTCTGGCCTAAACTTTGAAACACTTTAGAGCCAATCGTGTTACATTCCCTTAGGGGTTTACTATTGTTGTTCTGCTTGATCTCCTTTCTAAGCTCAATGTTTTACAGTTCCCAACAATTTGTGTTTCCAGTATGCGAGAGCACTAATTAGTCTTAAGATAGGAACCTCTCCATTTATCCATTTCGATCGGAGGAATGTCGAACAAGGTTTTCGTCGACGCAATGCTCATGGATCAACTTACACCAAAGAATCATGTACGCTTAACTCCCTGTGGTATTATTATGTCTTTCATATTATAGAAGCGTAAGTTAGAAATCAGTATTTCACAGTTGGATTAAGAACCCATTTCAAGTCTACGGTTCTCCTAGAAAGCGACCTACAACTATACTTTCTTGATCTCTATGTGGTATTTCCATGTTAGTGTCCGATTTAGAATTACGGCTAGGTCACTGATATAGTCCTGTCCAAAAACTGGGTGTCGGTAATAGCTGAAATTTTCAACTTTATTGTGAAAACCAGATTTTAATTTTAGTTGGGTTAACATACAGCCCACCCAAACGCACTTATATATAATGATCAGATAGAGGTCTAGTGAAGATATCACTGAAATAAATACTTGTTTTGCAAATCATTTAGTCCGTTGAGTCCAAATATGGTTCTGCGGTGGTGACCAAAGGTTAACAAAATGCAAGAAATAGACTGTTCTCTGGCATATACATATATGGGGAGGTTCATTAAGTCCATGTGTCCTGCATAATGTCAACTCATTCTGTTTACTCTGATCATTCAGAGATGTCAAAGAATCATATGCAAATAAATCCCTGAGCGAATTCTGATTGGTCAGACCTTTGCTTACATCTTCAGAATTCTCTATAATAGATAACTTAAATAACAGTCTCACCACCATCACTAACCACAACTGGTCCGCGTTCGATATAACTCTTTTTTTTGGAATAACGGTCTGCACTTCTTGTATGTAGTTCTTGCCAATTATATACATACGTATATGATCTTGGTAATCACATTGCAGATTTGGAAAGTCTCAACTTTTACTGGAAAATAGATTAGCAATACCTTAAACCGCTTCCATTCATATTCCACTAAATAAGTCTTAAAGATCTCCGTCTAATAAAAAGCTCAATGATTGACAGCTATCTTACCTGCCACGATTTAAAACTACAATCAAGCACTTGTTGCTTTCTGTTCACTATATATACTTTATCCCCTACCCAATAAATATGAACTTTTGTATGTAAATTAAAATCACATAATAACCAAAAAGCTCAAGAAGTGCAGATGTTTGTCCCAACAAAAAAATTTCCATACTTGACAAAGTTTTAATTTAAACAATAAAGAGAAATTAATTGATATTCAATATTGAGAACCCGAAATACATTCAAACAATGACACAACTCAAAACGTTAAGCGCTTCACGCACAATAAAAAAAGAGATTTTCTTAACTTAAGTTTTACGATTATTACGAAGTCTATATGTGCGCATATGTATGTTTCTAGATATCTGTGAACTTCATTCATTTAGTCAATGAGCAAATGTTAAAAAAAAATTATATGAATTTTAACTGTAGTACGAGTCAAAAATGAAAACAAAATACATACATATGAGGAAAAAGTCGTAAAACTACTTGTCTGTGGAAGTAGTATGATGCGGCAACAAAAAGAGTTTTAATTTATATTCATCTTTTAAACATCTTCAACTGTTGAGAAGATTATGGTCGATCGCTTTGTTGAGTGGTTAAAATTTACATATTTGTTTTTATTTGAAAATGTATGCTACTTTAAATATAAATGGTACGTTGTTTGGTACTTTTTTAAGGCTAAATAGTACTAAATTGGTGTACAAATTTTGTAAACATTTTTCTAAGCATGTTCTTATCTGTCATTGTATCAGAGATTTCTAACGTTTTCTGCCTCACGAACAACTTAAGCGATTTTTTAAATAAAACCTATATAAACAATATGAAATTTATCTTGAGACAATTGTTGGTCCCAATTAAACCTTTCCTCCCCCTAAAAGGTTCTCTTATAAATTCGTTGAAATATGTTGGTATTAAGATAAAATTGAACAATAATAATTTAAAATTCTGTAGAGTTTGATTCATAATAGAGACAAGCCTTTACAAACGGCCCTCTTTGGAAATCATCCTGATGTTTATATAACTACCGATAAATAACACTATGTGACAAAAATAAATACCTGGGAAGTGATACTATTTTTCTGAAAGGTGGATCCGAGTAGAACAAGAATATGTTTTTGAAATTTGCCAAACACCTCCAAAATCTTGAGTTACGGGTAAAAAACCGGTTTTTGTACCTTTAGGCACTTATAAGTCAGTAACTTAGGTAAATCTGAACCGATTTTAAGTTTCTTCACTGATTTAGAAAGCAGAAGCTAAGAGGCCTTTATAATGACATATATATCGTTTAAGTAACCTGGAGAGATATGTGTGAATTTTATCAGGAAACATATTTTTTATTTTAGTTTTGCACCGTTGTCCAAGTTTGCAGATGATTTTTAAAAGTATTTTATATAGGAAGCGTACTATTTATTAATTGATTAGAAACCCATGTCTATTCATGAGAAAAACGCAACTTTGTTTTTAAAAATCCGTTAGCAATTGAATAGAACTGGGTTTCTAATCAGTTAATAAATAGTACGGTTCCTATACAAAATACTTTCAAAAAACATCTCCAAACTTGGACAACGGTGCAAAACTAAAATAAAAAATATGTGTGCTGACGAAATTCACACATATGTCTCCAGGTTACTTATACATTGTATATGTCATTATAAAGGCCTTAGCTTTTACTTTCTAAATCCGTGGATAAACATAAAATTGGTTCAGATTTTTTTACCCGTAACTCAAGATTTTGGAGGTATTTGGCAAATTTCAAAAACATATTCTTGTTCTACTCGGATCCACCTTTCACAAAAATAGTATCACTTCCCAGGTATTTGAATTTTCGTTTATTTTGTCTCACTGTGTAATAATACAATTTAGCAGCATAAATTTAATAAAGCTGTTAATGTCATAAAGATAGAACCATAAAGACCTAGGATAATATAGGGTCCATGCCGAATATAACACTTAAAATTATATAGTTTTCGGTCCCATTGCAAATCGATTGGATAATTGATATGAAACCTTTGTTGTCTGCCGACTAGGTTAGGTTTAAGGAGGGCCACACAAATGTCTTTGTGTGAATTCACAAGACCGAATAGCCCAATAATTAAGCTCCAATCATTAGATCCTAGATTGATCCGAATATTTGATTTCATATAACCTTGTAAGTTGTATGTATTTTCACATCTTCATTTCATTAATAAACCTTAATTCTTTACGATTCTGAAAGAAATAAGATTCAAAAGAAAAGGTAATGACAATAAAGTGTGATAATGCGACGCTTTGGCAGATATTATCTTCTTCATCTATAAACGAAGCCAACCCATGAAAATCATTAGGACCTCAAGTATTCCTCGAACATTGGTCTTGAATTATCTCAGTGGCATGAACACTTGTAGTCTTTAAGAATTGCTTAAATACTTAGTTTTGGATCCTTTTGACACTTCTGCTGGAATTTTACCTCTTACAACTCCCAATTCTTAACATAAATGTATCTTAGCTAAATCGAGTTTAGGATTGCTGAACATTGGACATCCACATTACATAGGTTGACTTACTTGGAGGCTGTCTGGGTTGAAAAAACTGAAACGTGTACTAATCGAAATTGTCTCCTATGAGCTAGTTATTTCTGAAATTGACCAATACCTGTAATGTTCACCAAGAAAATCTTACTTTATCAATATGGACGAGAATATGGCGGCAACAGGAGTTAATTGTCAGAATGCAATTAGGGAGATATGAGATGATAATGTTAATGTAAGACCATATTGGATTGTAAGAAAGCTTTATCCAAATACTCTCCCAAAGGTAAGCTTTGCATCATGTGGTAGTCGGCAACCGTTGGCACAACGAGGTCTGAATTAAAAATATGATGTTGCCATAAGGGTAGAACCATAAAGACTTCATTTGGTGATCCTAATAAGCCTCCTCAGAATGAGTCTGCACAAAATTGTACGCGCGGATTCAGACTGAATGTGGCGCATGTATGTGGAGAGGACAATGAAATTATGCAGCACTTTCTTTGTCATTCTCGGGCTTTCGTCGAAATAGGATCCAAATATCTTGGGAACGATATTATTCTGTATTCTTAGGAATTACGTCCTGGAAACAGAGTTTCTGAACTGCGTATAACAATATCTTTAATCACTCTATAAAGTTTTGAAAAGGAGCGCATAACAGGCCCGTCCTAGATGCTCTTCTTCGGATTTGATGTAGTATACATCCTACTATCAACCTAACCTAATCAAGTATATATGTATGTGACCAGTTCTCATTACCAGACTCATTTTCACCAAAAAAAATAATAATTATACTTTAAGATCTGTTGGATTACCGGTCATATATAGCAGTTTTGTTAAAAGTTAACCACTTGCTGTAAAAAACTTAAGCTATTCCGCCAATACTAAATTGTAATAGAGTAGCAGTTTCAATTCTCCCCAGTCTGACATAGACTGAACTATTCTCAAAGTAAGCACTGCGAATGGAAGAGGATATGATACTTTCGCGCAGTTTATTTTAACAGTTTGGGTCAATCCTTTATTAAATAATTATTTCCAAATATTTTACTATACATATATGGAAATCTAGATATGTATAGAAGTTCACGATATTGTTTAAACTCCTAAAAAAAAGTCCGTTAAGCAAAATGTGGAGGGATCCACCAGATGTTTGTACTAATTTCAATAGACTTCCATCTTTAAGCTGCTAAAGTAACTAATGGATTGCAAGCTTCAATATTCTGCACCTTGTAAAATCATATACCAGCCTTCATAGATAATATGGGTCTGTGAATGAGTCACTCAGTTGTACTACTTCTTTCTTAAAAATGTCATGAATCAGTTTTGGAAACTTTAGTTTGCCTAATTTTTATTCATGCAAGATTTTTAATCAAAATTTTAAGAATTCACATATTGACATGTTTAATGACATAAAATATATTGAAAACAATAAACAAACCTACTAAAGTGGCGGTTTAACTACAAAAAAAAACTTTTATTATGCAAAATAAAATTCCTTGTATGCACAACTATTAACACCGCCAAAACTATGCCAGGTACTTTAGTTTGAGTAGAAAGTACATTTTTTATTTGCTTATAAAAAAAGTACTCAAAACAAAATATAGCTTATGAAAACGCACGCACGTACAACAAGTAGTGTAAACGTAGAGAGCAGTCGCAGTTGCGTTAAACAGCAGATGCCGTTAACAGTATAGACCGCAACCAACAGCATGATCACCACCATGCCATACACTGCAAATGTAGCGGCATTGGTCAGTTGAGTTGGAAACATAGTTGAGAGAGCATTAAAGAAATTCAAGTTTAAGCGCAAAAGATTCAAAAATTTTAAAAATAAAAACAAAACTTTAAATAAAAACAATTAAGAAAGTGTTTTGCATTTACTGCTCATACGTTCGTGTGTTCATTAGTTTAATAGATCGGGATCATTCATTCATACATTTGTTCATTGATCAATCAAACTGTCTGTCGATCAATCAACTATAATAACATACATACAGATATAATTATCAAATACATAATTGAAGATTTGTGTGTAAAAAAAAAAACAACTAAAAATAATGTTGCACAGCATAACGGTGATCACCAAATCATTCATCTGCAGCATGATGTTGCTCGTGTTGCTAATGACCTCTATGACTTTGGTGGAAAGCAAAGCTTTGGTGAAGACAAACAATTTGCAACTACAAAACTCAAACGAACAAAATATCGATAATATAAGCAGACAATTTCTGTTCTTAAAAGGTGTAGGACGTGAAACAAGTACACCCGATTTTATACGTCTGGTAGTGATGCGTTTCATTTATGGTTTGGCCTCCACCATGGGTGTGGAAGAACGTTTGGAGGGTCTATTCAATGGCGCTTTTGTACCACCCAATGCCGATGGTGATATATTTGGTTTCGGTGGAGATGGTGGCGATAGTGAAGACTTTGATGAAGCAGCCCTAGAAAGTATATTCGCTGATGATGCATTTTAAGTGTAACAAACTGAGTTTGTTAATTTGTATATAAAAAAATCTTTAGTTTATTTAGTAAATTATTTATTTATATTTAATAGTTTTAATATTAATTTAAATAAAAAACAGCAACAACGATCTAATATTAAGTAATGTTTTAAAAAATGAAATTTTTAAATGTGTTTTGTTTATTATTTAAATTATGTTTTGTTTTCATAGTGTTGTTATGAAATGTCTTTTCTCTGATGATTAAGTGACTGCGTATGCTTGTATTAACGTACTTAAGTAGGTTGAGACGTCACATCGTTTCTATTTAAAACCAATACGGAAATCTGTAATGTTGGGTGTATTATCATCCGTCATATTGTTATTAACTAAAACTCATACTAACTAACGACTAAAGTAATTTACTACGAATTATTTTTTAGGTCTTGCTGTTGAAAAACAAAAACATTCACACTAGCCTTCTTCATCATAATCCAATGTGCACAAATATTTAATTTGTTTTTTTCATTTCTTCAGTTCAATGTGTCGAATGAATGTTCAACTGAATACATACATATTTCGTCAGAGCACTTTCTTTTTTTTTCACAGGTCTAAATGGTTAAATAAATAAATTTGTATTCGTAATTAGTATTCATAACTGCATTATTTCTTTGATAATAATTAAAATCAAAAATAAAAACTAGCCGATCGACAAAATGTGGGCATATTTGTTTATGTGCCATAATATTTTTATTACGTATTTTTGATCCGTTACCAGTTTTGCTTGCAATAAATAATACTCGCAACAATATTTGTATATTGTTGGTTTGCGGGCCAAAACATATTTCCCCTTTTTGTAGGTCACGAGTCGCACTTAATAGGGTTTGGTTAATTTTAAATTGAACAGTTAATCGCACAGTGGGATGAAATGGATATTTGTAAAACGAATAATTTCACTTTCAACTTTAATAAAGTACGGTAGTTAATTGAGACAACCTCCCAAATTAGTGTTGGATGTTAACAATGTCGTTAATGGCGTTCTCATACAAATTTAACAAGCAGCTGCCGTTCAATGGCATGCCGTTATATTAAAATTTATTTCATTTCTTTGCCGGTTCCCTCTTTTTTGAAATGAAACCCTATTAATATATGTCATAAATTGTGGCTTACAAAAAGTCCTTATATCAAGGAAAATCTAACAAACAAAAAACTAACTAACTAACTAACTAACTAACTAACTACTAACTAACTAACTAACTAACTAACTAACTAACTAACTAACTAACTAACTAACTAACTAACTAACTAACTAACTAACTAACTAACTAACTAACTAACTAACTAACTAACTAACTAACTAACTAACTAACTAACTAACTAACTAACTAACTAACTAACTAACTAACTAACTAACTAACTAACTAACTAACTAACTAACTAACTAACTAACTAACTAACTAACTAACTAACTAACTAACTAACTAACTAACTAACTAACTAACTAACTAACTAACTAACTAACTAACTAACTAACTAACTAACTAACTAACTAACTAACTAACTAACTAACTAACTAACTAACTAACTAACTAACTAACTACTAACTAACTAACTAACTAACTAACTAACTAACTAACTAACTAACTAACTAACTAACTAACTAACTAACTAACTAACTAACTAACTAACTAACTAACTAACTAACTAACTAACTAACTAACTAACTAACTAACTAACTAACTAACTAACTAACTAACTAACTAACTAACTAACTAACTAACTAACTAACTAACTAACTACTAACTAACTAACTAACTAACTAACTAACTAACTAACTACTAACTAACTAACTAACTAACTAACTAACTAACTAACTAACTAACTAACTAACTAACTAACTAACTAACTAACTAACTAACTAACTAACTAACTAACTAACTAACTAACTAACTAACTAACTAACTAACTAACTACTAACTAACTAACTAACTAACTAACTAACTAACTAACTACTAACTAACTAACTAACTAACTAACTAACTAACTAACTAACTAACTAACTAACTAACTAACTAACTAACTAACTAACTAACTAACTAACTAACTAACTAACTAACTAACTAACTAACTAACTAACTAACTACTAACTAACTACTAACTAACTAACTACTAACTAACCTAACTAACTAACTAACTAACTAACTAACTAACTAACTAACTAACTAACTAACTAACTAACTAACTAACTAACTAACTAACTAACTAACTAACTAACTAACTAACTAACTAACTAACTAACTACTAACTAACTAACTAACTAACTAACTAACTAACTAACTAACTAACTAACTAACTAACTAACTACTAACTAACTAACTAACTAACTAACTACTAACTAACTAACTAACTAACTAAACTAACTAACTAACTAACTAACTAACTAACTAACTAACTAACTAACTAACTAACTAACTAACTAACTAACTGACTAACTAACTAACTAACTAACTAACTAACTAACTAATAACTAACTAAATAAATAGCCAACATACTCCAAAGAAATACACCTAGGCCATTATCGTTAATCCGTAGTATATTTGTGTTTCTGGGTTTTCAATATAGAACCCCAAGACCGCTTTATCTACCACCTTAGAGCCATCCGCGTAGCAACGGATTCCTACGTGGATGACGTGTCCTATAACCGCTTTTTTGTTCAGTTCATCTAAAGTTATGAGTCGTTCGAATGTAAGTGCCACCATTGAAACATTTTATATATCTTTCAAAGGTAAAATATCTAGCAACGATTCCAGAGTCTTGATTGTGCTCATAGCACCACTTATATCAAAGCAGCATATATTGTACTGATAAACAATGAAATCGTTATATTGTATAAAAACATTTCAAATGTACATACTTATAACTGGTGTATCTGATCGCATACTAGACACCGAATGTGCCGAAAACTTTGAAACGCTGATCCCAGATAGAATGTCTTGGTCAAGCGGAAAACTAGAGCAAATACCAGTAGGAATCCGTTGTTACACGGATGGCTCTAAATTGGGGGACAAAGTGGGCCTGGGGTTCTATATTGAAGACCCAGAAACAGAAATATACCACCGTTTAACTAATCATAACTCAAGCTTCCAGGCAGAAGTCCGAGCAATAACGGAATGTGTAAAATGGATTAGAATAAATGTGGCGCCCACAGCCCTTAATATATTTACCGACAGCCAGAAGGCAATTAGGGCGATATCAGGTGATAGAATAAGGTTTCCAGCATATGGGTACCAGGCCACTCGGGAGTAGTCGGTAACGAAAGGGCGAATGCAGTAGCTTTAAAGGAGGTAGTTAAGCTGACAAAAGCAAAACCATTCGATGCAACAAAAGCTGTATTAAAAATATGGGTGAGAGAATCGTATAAGACCTCTTGGAGTAATGAAATGGTGGATAGAACCACAAAGATCCTATGGGGTGACCCTGACGAGAGCAAGACGAGAAATCTCCTCAAAATGGGCAAGTCTGAAGTTAGTATGATGGTACGTATTCTGAGTGGACACACAGGATTACGAGCACATCTATACAAAATTGGACGTGCGGATTCAGACGAATGTTGAGCATTTGGAGAGGACAGTGAAACTCTGGAGCACTTTCTTTGCCACTGTCAGGCATTCGTCGAAGTTAGATCCAAGTATCTTGGAAGTGAACATTGCTGAATTAAACTGATTGGAAAATTCTTAGGAATTAAATCCAGGACACTGAGTTTCTTAACTCAGTGTACATTTAGTGAACATTTTTTTTTTCATTAAAAGGAGCGCACAGTCCCGACAGTGTCCTAGGTATATTTCTTTGGATATGAGGTGGTATACATCCTCCTATCAACCTAACCTAACCATAACTGGTGTAGGGTATCATAATATATGTACATCCCCACTTGTTTAACATAAAAAAATGTTTTATATATATTATAGCCGATAAGAAAAACGTATTTGAATATAGTTTTTTTATTAAAGTTCAATCGCAGATCTGTTGGAAGAAAAGTCAAATCTTATTGCTAATATAAAATATTAGATCCGAAGCCCCAGTTGTTTTTCACTTAATTTATTATGTTTACGAAAATTTTAAATTAAAAAGTAAGTGTCATACTTTGCCCTATTTAATTTAGAATTGAGATTAAAAGTTTATTATCATTGCAAAATTGTTGACATGACAATTGACAGATTTATTAATATTTTAATATTTAGAACATACCTGTATGTGTCAAGTACATTTGTTAGTATAATATAATGCCACGAGATTAATACTTTTTACTTTTTAGGTGTTCATTGGGTTGTAACAGCAAGTAATGAATTGTTTGACCTAAAATATTGGCTTTATTTAGTTCAAGATCAAAATTCTCGAATAAATTTTTCTACAGCATTGTATTCATATATCATAATTTTCAAAATATATGTATGTATTCGACAAAATCTCTGATACCTATTTACAAATAACAAATATTTTGGTCCAATACAGATTATCAGATTGACCTTTTAATTGGATCTTGTTATGATAAGATTCATACCCAAAATTGAAAATTTTATTAGAAACGTAATTAAATTTCAAAACTGACTTAATACGTTATTAATATTTTTGGATGAATAAACCTATAAAATGTTAGGTACATTTATTGCGTCAGTAAAATAAATTTCTATATATTCTCTTCTATATGTAAACGGTTATCGAAAATGAAAACTTTCTAAAAAATTTTAAAAAACTTCCCCTTAAAATATAAAAAGGAAATAGAAATATTATTAAACACTCTGTGTGGGGTAATATTTATATAAAAATTATCAAAATAAACAATAAATTTATTTCATATACATATTTAAAAAGCAAAACAAAATAAAGTTTTTATTTTTATTTTAAGGAAAATAAAAAAAGAGGAAATTCAAAAATGGCTTTAAATCCGTCATTGTGTTTAATCTACGACATTAAACGGGTATGTATGTTAATAAGAACAACTATATTTAACAACAACAACAAACCATAAAATATGGGAAAATATTTCATGCGACAAATTTCTGAAATATTGTACAAAATTCATATGAAAACAAAATAAATCCATTAATTATTTTGCACTGCAAATTAATGAATGAAGGTTATCAGGAAAATTTTGACTCGCAAAAATATAAAAACAAACGTTTCAATTTAAATTAAATGAAATGAAGTAAATAATATTTAGTCATCCGTTATATAGAAATTATTTC